TTTAATTCCTGTCATCATCACATCAAATATAAATGTATCCTTGTGTGTGTGTGTGTGTGTGTGTGTGTGTGTGTGTGTGTGTGTGTGTGTGTGTGTGTGTGTGTGTGTGTGTGTGTGTGTGTGTGTTCCTGTGTGTTTGAGTTCTCAGAAAGACTGTGTAAGCTCATTTACGTGCATGGGTGTGCGACTATATGCACATGTCTAGCTCTCATTTTGTGTGTGTGTGTGTGTGTGTGTGTGTGTGTGTGTGTGTGTGTGTGTGTGTGTGTGTGTGTGTGTGTGTGTGTGTGTGTGTGTGTGTGTGTGTGTGTGTGTGTAATGCTGTCGTTCAGTCTGACAGGTATAGTGTTGAGAAGAGGAGAGGCTGGCACACTGGCACACACACACATACACACACACACACACACATACACATACACATACACACACCGTCCTTGCCCATTCAACCCAGGCTGACAGTGAGCTGCCTCACACATGGCCTGGGCCTCATGCATATGGAGGAGGGCAGGAGGAGGAAAAACAGGAATAACAACTACCCGTGTGTATGTGTGTATATTTCACACAGGTGTATGTTCATGGTGCGTTTCACAGGCAACCACTTGATAGAATGTGTTTGTTTACCTTCATTTGTCTCTGGGCTCTAATGCATTCCTCCTCTCCACAGTTAATCCCGCAATTGTTCTTCCTGGGTATGGGCCTCACAGGGGCCACCTTCTATCTGATCCGCCTGGCAAGAGGACCTCATGTCACGTAAGATGCTCCTCTGTTTAATCTGGTAGCCATTGTAGTATCTTACACCTTGCTTTGACACTGTGATATTTTATAGAAATCTTCCATCATTGTCACCTGGATGCATACGTTGTTACATAAAGATGAGAAACATTGGAGAATGTGTAATCCTTCCAATGTTCAGTGGACCGATGATGCTCATTTTGAGGTTCATATTTGTACGTTGTACCTCTACTGTGACATGTCTCCATGCTTTAATGTTCAAAAAGCTCTTTACTGGTATCATAATGCCTGTGCTGCAGCACCTCTTTTCACCCTCTGTCTGAAACCAGAGCCCAGTCTGCTCTGATTGGTTAGCTGACCGGCTCTGTTGTGATTGGTCAACCACTTTGAGATGTCCTGCCCCTTATACTATCACATACAATGTGTTGGAGCTCTAGCCAATGAAAGTATGAGTGTTACATAGTGATGTCATTATGTCGCATAATTAATAAAAGGGCTGCACTCGATGCATTTGAAGAGGGGGGGGGAGACACGGGAGTGTGTGGGAAAGAAACTCTTGGATTGTAGTCTTTGAAGACCATTTACATGCATATACACAACGCAGGTAAGGGAAAACCCAACAAATCATATTTCAGACAGCAGAACCTCCTAGTTAGATTTCATTTATGATATCATTCCAATATTTAACCCTTTCCAGCTAACTAGTTTGGGATATGGAGGTCCTTTAATTGGTATGCGAGAAGAAAGGTGTGCATAATAAGAAAGCTACACCTTTTCATTCAGTGTGTCCGGTAACTCGAGTTACTAAAGGCTAACAAAAAAACACAACAGCAGGCTGTACAAACCTTCATATCCGCGTAGCTGTTCTGAACTCAGTGAGTGAACACATGATGTTCCTGTCCTGTTTTGGGCCACACAGAGCCACTTGTTCTGAGGTCAGCCATAAAGCCTGACCTCATCACCGGCTGATGATGAGTGGTGAGGTCTGCGGCTGCCTTGCTCTCAGAGACTGTCTAGTGTTTGTGGTAATGGAGAGAGGGGGGGGGGGGGGGGGGGGGGGGGGGGGGACGACAAGCCCGCTCTGCCATCATTCCCCCGGTCTCTTTGTTTATGCTTTGTGGCATTACGTGCTGCCAGAGATGGGGGGGGGGGGGGGGGGAGGGATGGACGGTCACAGTGAAACCCAGACTTTGGTTAATAAAAAGGGGAGCACTGCCAAGTCACTGGGCTGAGTTCACCTCATCTGATAATCACATCCAGAATAATGTTTTATTTCATTTTGTCTCTCCCCTTTTGCCCTTCTGCTCCCTATTTATTATTATCTTATTTGTTTCTCCTCTGATAAGGCGCGTTCACACCGCAGTACTTTTCCCACTTTAGTTCCGATATAGTTCCGAAATGTTGCGTTCACACCAAAAAGAGCCGGAACTAAAATTAGTTCATGAGAACCTTTACACCCCCTTTTCCGTCCCTGCTATACCTCATTCACACCAACGGTGTTTCGGGGCCGGTTCGGAGCTGGAGCTTGAAAAGCACCGGGTTTTCCTCTTCACACTGCAGCGGAGCAGCTCTTAGCTCCGGAATCCGGTTCATTTCAAGCACCAAAAAATTGTCCGGCCAGAGCAAAAGCACCACATACGTCGAGGCAGGGGCAGGATCATCTCCTGAACAACAACAAGAAGCCCGCGTTTTATCCAGTTTGTACACAACGATGGAGAAACTTAACAAACAGCAGTGGTCCACTGAAGAGACCAGCTACCTACTGGGAATCTGGTCTTCCGAAGAGGTACAGAGGAAGCTGGAGGGGAGCACGCGGTCCAAAGCAATTCTCCAACAATTGCAGAAAGAGATGGCAACCGCTGGTTTTTACCGTACCGTGGAACAGATTGGCAACAAATTAAAAAAAAGTCAAGAAGGACTATCGGGACCAAAAGCGAGACCTCGGACGGAGTGGTAGCGGTCGCCCGAAAACAAGTCCACATTATGACATGCTAGACTCGGTCCTCGGGGACAGACCGACGAGTGGTTTTGGATCCACGGTGAACTCGCTTTCTCTCACGTCGATGATGTTGCAGGACGAGTCGCTGAATGTGCAGAGCTCATTTGATGCCGGTGAGTTATGCATTACCCATTTGTTTTATTTGTGACTTTTTGTTTTACAACATAAACTAAACCATGTAGCTATCGACAGACCTGGTAATAAAGCTAAAGTTGACCTACTACAGCTGAGCTACCGGATGTGTGCATCCAAACCAATAATAGCCCTAGCATGCTAATGCTAACAATAATAAACAAAGGTATCCCCATGGCAAAGACAGCTAACGCCTCCAATGTATCTTCTTTCTTCTCACTAACAATTTATGAGTCATTGTGTTTATATTGTGTTTACAGAAATATCTGGTTTGGAGTGTACTGTGTCGGAACCACCACTGCCGTCGGCGTGTAGCTCGCCAATGCGGATGCAAGAGTCTCCTTTTCCCACAAGCAGCTCTTCCCAGGAATCTCTGGTGAACCTAATCCAGCCAGTGGGCCGACACAAACAGGGTAAGGTTTACAGTGGTCATAATAGTAATACTGTTCCCTGTTGCCATGTGCATTTATCATGGCATAGTCATTGTAGTAGTTGTTCAAGTTATACAACTGCAGCCATAAGAACAATACAACATTTCATTACACAGTATATAATATACATCTCATAAAATGCCATGAATACAGTGTTGACTTTATTTTTCTCTTTTTGTAGTTAAAAGGAAGCGGGATTTATCATCTGGCCTTCTGGAGTATCTGGAGAAAAGTGAGGACAGGGAGGAAAGGCTTCAGGAGCAGGGCCAGGCGTTGCTTAAGGAGCAGGGCCAGGCGATGCTTCAGGAGGTGCATGTGGCCAATGCTGAGTTCCTACGAGTTTTCACCAGAATCGAGCAGAACAGCCACTCAATGCTTGGCATGGTAGACAGGCTTGTGAAGGTGATGGAGGCCAACAACAAAAGCTGACCATATTTTTTTATGTAAATAGTTCATACCTTTTTTGTATACACATTATTATTATAGTATATTCGCCACACTTTTTGGTGAATTATTGTCCATACATGTCTTTGATTTGTACAATAAACAAAATTCAAAAGTCATGTCTGATCCATGGATTTTATTGAAAAAACGGATAGGCATGTGTATTTGAGTTAAGAATATAGTCTAAACCGTTTGGGTATGCACTTTTTTTATAACAATATAGTCTAAACCACAGAAATGACTCTGGAAACGCTGCAGATAGAGCCATAAGAAAGGAATGCAACTGATTGAATGTGTAATCTTTTTATAGGCAACAATTTAAGCTTTGTTAGTTCCAGGTTTAATATTACTCAGATGTGAATCATGTGTGCAATCCTTATCATTTAAAGTGCCCATAAAATGATGTTTGAAATGTAAATGTATACTTGCAATGTCTTCCTAGGAGAAGGCCCACTCACAGATTGACACACATTTAAATACAGGGCATTCACTTATGATATGACATACTGTACATTATATATGAGCCCCATCAATACAGGCTAATATGATGTTTTTTATTCTGATAATAGTATAGAAGCATCAGTATAAACAAGCTACATTGATAGGGATCCTTTTTCTTTTTATTTCCTGTCAAATTAATTAATATAGTTTTTAGTAAGAATATACTATTTTGATAAAGGGTAATAAGATTGAGTATTGCCAATAATGAAATCAACATGTTCCACTGTTGTGTAGATGAACAGCAGTCATTGTTATTATGGATATATAATAAGGACTGCCGTTAACAATGGTTATATGATTTTGGGGAGGCCAGGACTGTATGATAATGTTCTATATTATTTGTAGTTCTTTTGTCCAGTTTCAATTGTATTCATAACTCGATGTGCTTTTTATAGTTTTTTTCATTTGATTTTACAATATAGTCTAAACCACAGAAATGACTCTGGAAAAGCTGCAGATAGAGCCATAAGAAAGGAATGCAACTGATTTAATGTGTAATCTTTTTATAGGCAACAATTTAAGCTTTGTTAGTTCCAGGTTTAATATGTGCAATAAGTTCATTTCAATACGTTTTGCAATAAACATTGAACCAGTCCGGCCCTCCACTAGCACCCATTTATTTTTATTTTGGCCCACTGTGTATTTGAGTTAAGAATATAGTCTAAACCGTTTGGGTATGCACTTTTTTTATAAGAATATAGTTCATACCTGTTTGTATCTAGATGCTGTGATTTGTATACAAAATAAACACACTTCAAGTCTGATCCAGTGATTTTATTATACAAAAAAAAGAGGCATGATACAAAATAGATCAGGTTTAACTGCAGTAATATTAGTGGTCCCCCATGTTGAAATAGTCCATCAATGCGGATCTAACATCAGCTCCTTCTTGTCTACCATTATCTGGTAAGGGGTGTAAAGCGGGTTGGTCGTACACAAGTTCATGGCAATCGTCAGTGAAGTTGTCGCTATGTTCCTCACATATGTTGTGTAGTACACAGCAAGTCACTGTCATTATTTTGCTGAGCTCAGTTCCTTTTTAGGAGGCACCTCCATCTTCCTTTTAGCCTTCCAAACGCCATCTCAACAACCGACCGTGCACTGCTCAGTCTGTAATTGTAGGTGTGCTGTTCAGGGGTCAGTCTCCCAGTGTCCGAAAATGGTTTCATTAGCCATCTTTGCATTGGATAGGCTGGGTCACCAATCAAGTAATGTCCCACATCACAGCCAGAGATGGTCATTTTGTTTTGGCCTAGCAACACTCTATCACTGATAGCCACCCAAAGATTAGATTGTTTTAGCACTCTAGCATCATGTACACTACCTGGGTCGCCAACACACACATCCCAGAACATCCCCCTGCCATCAACAACAGCCTGTAGAACAACAGAATGCCATCCTTTTCTGTTATAATAGTCCTTGGGATAATCTCGGGGTGCTAAAATAGGGATGTGGCTTCCATCTATTGCACCAACACACTGTGGTGCTCTCCAACGTCTGTTGAAAAAAGTGGCCATTTCCACCAACTTCTCCACATCAGGAAATGTGATATGTAGTGGAAGCAGCACTTCCATGGTTGCCCTGCAGAAATCCTGAACACAGAGGCAAACGGTGCTTTGGCCTACCCCGAAAAGATGGCTGATGGTCCTGTATTCACCTCCGGTGGCCAGCTTCCAGAGGGCAATTGCAACCCGTTTTTTATTGGGTATACACAGACGGTAATTTGTGTCTCTTCGCCCCATAACGCCGCTGACCTGGTTGCAGATGTAGTCAAAGGACTGCCTGGACACGCGGAAATTCTGCATGAATTACAGAGGGGAGAAGTCTGGAACAATGGTGTTCCACCAGTCGGAAGATCTGGGCTGTGTCCAAATAACACGCGACCTCCGCCTTTCCGCCAGCTTCAACATGATCTGTGGAAATAACATTGAGAATACATTTTAATGTTATACCATAGTAATTAATTTAGCAAAGCTGGGTAGTTTGAGCTTGGCGCATGCAGAGGCTAACAACAGCTAACTCTAACATCGAATAGGACGTATATTTACCTTCTTTCTCCTACGGAATCTGAATCGTCGTTGATGTTTAGGATTGTAAAGTAGTTTTGAATTTAGCATGTAACGACTGTAAAGTTGGTAGTAAAGTCGTCCCATTTCTTCCATTTCGTTTCGACAGAGCAAAACCAAAACGAGTAGCGCTTCAACCCAATCGGCCGTTGTTGTCGCTGTCAGCTGTGAGGGTTTTCCGCGCGGTTTGGCTTTATGAAGCAGGCACGTAAGCGGTTACGTCATGACGCAAACGATGACGCAATGACGCAGCACCAGTCGGACTCTGGGCGGTGTGAAAAGAGCTTCCGCTAAACCGAAGAACCGGTTCTGAACCTGAAAAGCTCTAGCACGGAGCTTGAACTGGAGTTGCGTTGGTGTGAATGAGGTACTAGAGAGCAGGGACTTTCGTGGGAGAAAAAGGTTCCTATGTCTGATTGGCTGGGCGGATTGCAAACCACGCCCCGTAAAACTCCCAACAAGTTTTGTGAAGCCGCCATTTTATTATCCTCGCATTAGCATTATTGCATTACCATTAGCCCAGCACAGAAACGCTTCAGTAGAAGCTGCTGGGAGTCCCAGAAGCTTGAAGCCAGTCCCCAACTCCGGGGACTTCCGGACGGGGACGTTGGGCGGCAGTATACGCCGTGAAGTGGTTTGCGGCCTGCCAGTAAACTCAAAGCAGAAGAAGAAGAAGTGACGTCAGCGGCTTCATTTGCCTAATCCTCCCCCAGGGACTTATTCCGGTGTGAACGCGATCTGTACTTAGTTCATGAGAACTAAAGAGTTCTCATGAACCTTTGTGGGAAAAGTACTGCGGTGTGAATGCGCCTAATGTCTTCCGTCTCTCTGCATTGGCTCTTTTGCCTCCATAATGTACAATGCAACAATGCCATTTCAAAATAGAAACTAATTACATTGATAAAATGTTGATATTCACTGAAATGTGATGCAGTCATTCTTTATTTTTGTTGCGACCAATTGGGTTGAATTAATTTAGTTAATGAGGGAAATTCTAAATATGGCTCACCTGGTTTCTGATGCACTTTATGATTTGACTTTATAAAACTGATGTGGTTATTCAATGCATGTGTGCACACAAGCCTGTTATTTAGTTTGCACTGTTGTGTGCACCTAAATTGATGTTGGTGCATGGTTAAACAAGTTAAACGTGTGTCTTGTTTCAATACAATACAGCATGTTGTTGTCATGTTTTACTAATTAAAATATATGCAATCCTTTGTTGTTGTAGTACTGTATCTGTAGCTATTAACATGATTGCAAATATTTCAAGCCATCATTTAACTGGCCCCTTATTTTGGATCATTTTCATCAACTGGCCCCCATTCCAAACTAAGTGAATAGCCGTGATGTACAGTACGCCTTGCTTATAATGTCCTGTCTTTTCTCTTTTCTCTCTTTTTACATTCCCTGAATCGTTGCCTATTTGCAGCCTGTGGGACAAGAAGAACAACCCAGAGCCCTGGAACAACCTCGACCCAACCTACCAGTACAAGGTAGCTTCCCCCCCCACACAGAGTACGACCAAATGCTGGCTCAACACCATCATGTCTGACAGAAAACTAAAGATACGAATGCCATTGTTTCCTTTAGTCACTGCAAATCTTACTTTCATCAAAAACAGTCTAAAAAACCAAACCAAAATAGATCAGGATCAAACATTACTGGCAAAGTTATTTTAGATCAACATGGCCGCTTTCTTGTTTCCTTATGTGATCAAAACAAAAAGGAAAACAAAGTTTCTTTCAAAAGCAAATTAAGGGAGCTTTTTGCCTTACCTCTTCAACAACAGGACCGGGCGTCAGACAAAACATTATCAACGCTGACCTAAAATAGAGCACAAAAACCACCGACTGACAAGTCCCAGAAGAGGAGATCAGGGGCCTCATTTATAAAGGGATATACGCTCAAAAAATGGCGTACGCCAGTTTCTACGCAATGTTTGCGATTTATAAAATACTAACTTGACGGGAAAATGTGCGGTCCTCCACGCAAACTCTAACCCATGCGTACGCACTAAGCACATAAATGGGAGAGACGAGAAACTGCGACACCGTTGGCAGAAGGAAGAATGGAGAGAAATATGTGGAAATAATACCATAAATAAAATGTTACCTCTCATTTATCATATATGAAGAATTCATTTTCACAAATTGATTAAAGCCAATCTTAAAATGATTTAACAAACGCCTGTTTGAGACTCCTCGGTGCACACAAAAACATAACTTGGAGAAATAAATAAATACGGATATGTTATTTAAAACCACCTCCAATATGTTGTGTTAATGTTATGAAATGTTTTCTCATAAATGATGCGGTAAGCAGGAGGACAGAATTACGTCTAAACTGACGCCGTTTTGCATTTCTATAGGTTGTAGATACGAGCATGGTTTTATATACTATCATGTTTAATCGTGTTTTATGCCGTTTGCATTTGAGATGCACAGGCAGCAGAAGAGACGCTGCGCACAGCTGATCGACAGCTGGGACACAAACCACAAAATACAAACAAATAATTCAGATCCAGTCGTCATGACTCCACTCCGGAGGGATTCCCCGATCATTTATTACAGTTTCTCATCAAGGGGGTGTCTCCTGTCCCCGGTACAAACACACTGCCTGAGGAAGGCTATGTGTCTTTTTTTTGTCATTAACCTTTTTCGGATCATTTATTTATTTATTTTGGTGACGATCCGACCTCCATGCTGCTACTCTGGTTCAAACTGCATCCACCAAACAATATGATTTATCTCGACCTCCCCAAAATAACCAAAATCTGACACGGTGTGAGATGTCTTTTTTAGCTGTTCTGTCGTCATTTCCTGCTATCTTCTTCATAAAGTCAGTTAAAAATGAATGAATGAATGGGCGTTTCTTTGACTATTTATAGGCAAATATGGGCGTTACGTGAAGCCCGCAAAAGCTGCACCGCATTTCGAGTCGAATGTGATTTATAAAGGGAAACCGGCGTAGGAAGTGCCGTACGCACTTTCTTCGCCGGTACGCAATGTTTGGTGAATCGGAAAATGTCGGAACATTTCTGTACCTATTTTTTGGATTTCTACTACGTAAGCAACCTTCCCACGTGAATCCTACGCACGGCGTTATAAATGAGGCCCCTGACTAATATGAGAGAAAAGAGCGTTTTCTGAGCACTTCAAGGCTGCACGGCTTGCCAGTGGAATGAAAGTCGCTGCAGACAAAAGGTCAGGACGAGGCATGTTTAATTCTCGAAAGCAAGGCAAAGGTCTCGCATCGAAATTCCCCTGAAGTCCAAACAAAGATCGTAATGAGGAGGGGGAAGTGGGAAAAAAGGGGAGTGAGGAGAGGGGAGGCGAGGGTTTTAATGGCAGACCAATCAAGAAAAAAAACACAGGGAGAAAATAATCACTGCCAGTGCATTAATGTGTGTTTGTCATGGTTGGAGAGTTGTGATGTATGCAGAACATATAAATGCAGTCACACAATATATATATTATCCATGACACGCATGTTATCCTAACGCAAATCTGGAAAATAAATGAGCTATAAAGCATCACTAATAAATAAATGTGTTTGGGTGAGTCTATATTTGTAATAGAGGGGAACACATTTCACCCCCCTGCCTGTTTGGTTCCACCAATATGTTCTCCTAAAGACAGCACTGATGAATTTAATTTAAGCAAAGTAGATTTAAATGTATTCCTCCTGCCTCACACAGTTTGTGGCCGTCAACACGGACTACAAGAACCTGAAGAAAGAGGGCCCTGACTTCTAAAGGTCCTCCAGGCAACTCCAGGGGCACCAAGTTTGGCAGGACCTCCTGCTGTCGCCTTAATGGTGTGAAGCGTCTTCGTCAACATTTCCTCAGTTTCACCTCATGTTAAGGACAACAGCTCTAAATGTTACTTCTGTAACCCTGTGAACAAAAACTATTAAAGATTACAAAAGGCAGAAGGCTGGTTCTTCAGTGCATGCTTAATGTGGATGTACAGTATGTAAATATTAAGATGCTGCTATAAAAAAAGAAAACTTTAATTTGTTTTACTTTGGGTCGATGTTGAAGGTGAAAATGAGTCTTGAGTTTCGGCTTCAGTAACATTGATGTTGAATATCTGTATATATTTTCTGTTAGTTCTCTTTCTTGTGTTAACCCCTCAGCTGAGAAGTCACAAGTCAGGGTGTGATGCTGAAAAACAAGTTTTCAGTTGATGTGAATAACAAAGTCTTTTTTTAAGACTGCAATGATCAGACTTTTATATTGGCACTGAATCAAATGACTACATTTATGTTAGGGTCGCTTGTTGGGAAATAATTTCAACTGCCATGCATGAGAATACCCAGATCATCAGCATCCATAGGGCCCAAAGAGCAAGGGTATGGGCTTTTTCTTTAACCCAGCTTCCAGTCATTCAGTCTCAGCTCGCTCACATGTACAGCAGTTCATTATGGGGGAGTAACTCTGGAGTCAGCTAAAACTAACCTAAGGAATGAAGTAAGTCATTTAAACAAATTACCGATCCCCCTTTGTGATGTAAGTCTGCAGAAAAAGGTATTTTTGGGCAAAATAGCAACTATGAATATTGGTTTAACAGCCCAACCCTTGCATGTTCTTGTAAAAAAAAAAAAATGGGGCAGCAACCACCATCTGGCACTGTCTATATGCAATGTCTACACTAAGAAGTAAAAACAAAATGGTGAAAGGTGGTTGAGATCCTGGGTGGATTCACAAAATGTAAGTTTAGGTAAGATGTTTATTTACTGGTATCTCTCACTTCTTGGGTGATGCACAAGATGTGTCATCGGCCAATGTAAATGTCAAAACAAGATTACTTGGTTTCTAGAATTGGTAGAGAGATCAATAAAAAAACTAATGCCAAAGCCTGGCAGGTTCTTACAGTTTAGGTTGCATAAAGTCTTGGGTTGAAAGGGATATTCTTTGAGCTTGATCGGGCCACGGGTTCTGTCTGTTTACTCAAAACATTGGACTGGACAAGATAGAAAAGGTATGCCCAGAGTCTGAACCCCAAACATGCAGACAACTCTTTCATAGTCAGCTGAATGTCCGTGTTCAAAGTGCATCTCTTCAGTGATATTATATGTCTGGCTTCTCTTCATTTAAACAAGCATTTTCCTGACAGCCTTCCTACCTCAGATCGTATAACCATAAAAAAGGACCTGTATAGCTCTTTATCTAAAATCCATAAATGTTTGGCTCAACTGGCCCTCTTTGTGGCTCACCTCCCTTTGATGGTACAACAATTAT